CAGGAATGGGGGGCTGGGCGGGGGAGGCTGTGGCTCCTACTTCTCCTTCTGAATGGCTCCTTGTGGTAGGTAAGCCCACCACTTCCAGGGGGAGGGGCCTGTACAAAACGGTAGGGGGAGGGCTGGGCCCCATGGGCCCCGTGGTACCTATGGGCCTGATGAAGTGTCAGGAAGGAAAAGTAACATGTAAAAACTCCTGAAAAAGCAATGCGGGATATGGGGTGGGTGAGGGTGGGACGGGAAATCCCTCCCACCCAGATTACTAACGGTTTATCTTCTTTATTGCATCCTGTCTGATGAAGAGTCCTGTCTAGTTCAGGGTTCTGCATGTTCCCAAAGTCAGTCCAAGAAGCCAGAAATATTCATCTCCTTCATGCCTCAAAAAAGCTTCTCCTGCTTACCCGACTTTGCTTGCACTGTGGACCGTGAAGCTGACTAGATTTCCGTGGCCAAAGAGGGCGACTCTGCCTGAGCAACTGCAAGGGAGACTCTGCCAGTGCTTCTTATTGCCTCTGAGTTTTCATGAAAGCGCTGCCGTGTTTGCCTCTCAGGGACGGGAGATGCCCCAAAAGTACCGGGGGAAGAAAAACAAGCCAGCCATGGCAGGTTCTGCACATCCCATCCGAGAATCTCGTGCAAGAAGCGCCTGGAGTTCTGGCCTCAGAAGGGGCATGCTTCGACCTTTAGCAGGATCACAGACAAGTGGGATGCAACCATCGGTTCTTGAAGCTCCCAGACTCCCCCGGAGAGACAGAGGAGCCCAGACATGGGTTCCCATTCTGAAACAACACCGATGCCTCATTCATGGACTGAAAGAAGAGGCTGTCTTACAGTCCAGGGCAAGACCCCGTTCTCCCCCTTCTTTGTCCCCCTCCATTCCGGGCAGCTCAGAGAAGAACAGTGTTTTCTGTGGCCTGTAAATTTCTAGTCCCTTGAAGATGCACACACAACACTCTGGAGGAAGCGCCGGAGGGCTGCCTCGGCTGGTGGAGCTGGCGGGGAGGAGGATTTATAGACTGGGGACCCCGGAGAGATGCTGCAGTCAAGGGATGCTCAGCCAGCTGGGGAGGCAGGAAACCCACAATGGTGGGAACAACTCCTGATTCACCATTTGAGCTACGAGAGGGATTATTTCATATGCCAAGGGCAGTGCTGGGTTTCAAAGCTGACTGGAGGTCCCACTCCCAGAGAACAGCCAGTCCATGGGCCCAGACAGAAGTGGCTGACTGGAGCTGTATGAACTCCACATGCTCAGTGGTCCCATTCTTCAAAGCTGCCGTTCCTTTCCACCCCCCAGTGATAAGCCAAGAGGCAATGAGGGGCACGGGAGGCCAGGTTTTCACCAATGAGAGAACTGGTGTAATTCTGATACTAAATAGGAGGGAGGATCTTTCTCAGGCACGCACACATTGGAAGAGAGATGTGCAGTGTGCACCCATCATGGCAGGACAGAAAGAAACACACTTGTTTTATTTAATTTTAGGTGTTTCTACCCCACTCGTTCTCCAGTGGGAACCCCAAGTGGCTTGCAACTTTGCCCTCCCTGCCTCCTTCTTAGCCTTGTTAATTCAGGAACACGTGAAGTCGCCATGGACTGAATCAGACCCTTGGTCCACTAAGGTCAGTCTTGTCCGCGGGGGGGGGGGGGGGGTTAGAGCTGGAGTTCTCCTGGCAGCCACAGCCCTGTCTACTCAGATTGGCAGCAGCTCTCCAGGGTCTTATGGCAGAAGTCTTTCACATCATGTACTCTCAGGCTCTTTAAACTGGAGGTGCCAAGGATTGAACTTGGACATTGTTCTTTTATTTTAAAAAATACAAAAAAGAGATACAGATAACATACATTGCCATACAAAATCACAATCCACCCTGTCTCGTGAACGTAGAGAATCCTATTCCAACAGCTGTCAATGTTTCTGTTAAATATCATTATACACTTTATAGACCTGTGACTCTCTACCATTCTCTTCTGCTGTCAGGTGAAGACTTTGTAGAGAACAGATTTGCATTACTAACTTCAAATGAGTATGAACTGGAAAAACCGTGGGTTGAAACCAGAGATATTATCAAGGAACATAAGAACATAAGAGACGCCAATGTTGGATCAGGCCAAAGGCCCATCCAGTCCAACACTCTGTGTCACACAGTGGCCAGAAATACCAGGTGCCCTCAGGAGGTCCACCAGTGGGGCCAGGGCATTAGAAGCCCTCCCACTGTTGACCCCCCCCCCAAGCACCAAGAAGACAGAGCATCACTTGCCCCAGAGCCCCTATCTATACCTTGTGGCTAATAGTCACTGATGGACCTCTGCTCCATATGCTTATCTAATTCCCTTTTGAAGCCGTCCATGCTTGTAGCCACCACCACTTCCTGTGGCAGTGAATTTCATGTGTTAATCACTCTTTGGGTGAAGAAGGACTTCCTTTTATCCCTTCTAACCCGACCACTCAGCCAATTCATAGAGTGCCCACGAGTTCTTATAGGAAGAATGTGCAAAGACAGTTCTTGTAGCCAAAGGAAATGAAAAGCCTCAATGGTTCCTTGTGATTTTGGCCTCATGCAGATTTGAATGTTAATCTAGCAAGGGTGTTATTTGGCTTTTAGGTAGGAGGCTGAAGTTGGTTCCTTATTCGCAGTTCCTTATTCATTCCTTATTCGTTACTTATTCATGTAGTCATTCAGAAACACTAAGGAGAGTGAGTTGGAAAGCTCTGAACCCCTGAACCCCAAAATAAGGTCTGGACCACCACATATCATATACCCACACATTCACAGGACTCTCCCCTTCGAGGGGACATATGCTGTATCCTGGTTCAAAGCACAGTTCTGGTGCCAGCTGCTCCAAAGTGCAGTGCCCCTAGGACAATCTCACAAGCAGACACTGGGGCCAGGCTGCCCCCCCAAAAAACAATATTTGGACCACCCCAAATGACACATCCCCACGCTCTGGGGACTGTGTCCTGCAAAGTGACATACAGTGATGCCTGGTCCAAACACCGGTTCTGATGCCACGAGCTTCTGTTCGCAGGGCTTCCCTGAGGCCTGTATTTCAAAGGAGATTTGAATAAGGAAGTGCCCCCTGCACCCAAAATAAGGTTTGGACCCCCACACTTCATACACTCCCATCTTTAGCGGACCCTCCCCTTCGAGGGGACATATTCTGTGTGCTGGTCCAAAGTGCGGTTCCGGTACCAGTTTATCCAAAGTGCAGTGCCCCCAGGACACACAGACAGGCAGACACTGGGGCCAGACTGCCCCCCCCAAACATATTTGGACCACCCCAAATGACACATCCCCACGCTCTGGTGACTGTGTCCTGCAAAGTGACATCCAGTGATGCCCGGTCCAAACACCGGTTCTGATGCCACAAGCTTCTGTTTGCAAGGCTTCCCCGAGGACTGTATTTCAAAATATATTTTTGGGGGGGGGGGCAGTCTGGCCCCAGTGTCTGCCTGTGTGTGTGTTAGTCATGTATTCTGGGGAATTCCTTAGGATGGGGGTATGAGTGCATGAGCGTGAGAAGGGCTTTGTTGTAGCTGCCATGGAACTTTCCTTAAGATGCCTCCCTAATGCTGGGAGGACCTTGAAACGCTGTCTGTGCTTGCTTCCCTGTCTTAGATAAAGTAACGGTACATTTACAGGTGAGGGTGTAGAGTGCGCAGGCTAGACTGGACGAATGTGGAGTGCGATTGGATGGAATCCGGGGGGGGGGGCTTCTTTGAACTGTCTATAACTATTGATTTTGGTGGCAAACCTCAGTTCTGACACGGTACTGATCTGAGCTTGGAACATCTTTATTAATCAATTAAAAAATCACTGCCAGTGAGTGTTGGTGAGAGTAACTTTGTCCAAGATTCTGACACAGGTGCGGGGGGGGGGCCTTTGAGCAAGTTTGGGTCTTTGGTGGGCTGAGTGAGGATATCGATTGGGTAGTGTGCCTAAGGGGGCCTATCTTGCACATAGTATAGGCTCGGTCCTGGCACTTGGGTGTCAGTTCTGACACAGAATCTGTCCATGGTTGGAACCTTTTCACTTCTCAATCAACAAATCTTGCTGATACAAGAGTGTGGTGAGAGTGACTGCATCCGAGACCTGACCATCACCTACTGCCTGCTCCTTTTAACTGGAGGTACCAGGGACTGAATCTGGGACCTTCTGCATGCCAAGCAGAGGTTCCACCACTGAGCCCTGCCCCAGCCATGGTTACATCTCACTTGTCTCTTAGTAGGTAAAAGGTGAAAGCATGCCCTTGCTGAGGCCAGAACTCCCAGGTCTTCTCACTCAAGATCCACAGAGATCCCCTCCTAATTGCTGGTGGGACCTGCAGTGTCTGCATTGCCCCTGTGGCTTTGTTGTTTTCTTTCCCCAGAAATTCAAGGGGCGGCGAACACAGCAGCGTTTCCTTTAAAACTCAGGTCCAATGAAAAGCACAGGCAGAATCTCCCTTGCTGTTGCTCAGGCACAGCTGCCCTCTGCAGCGATGTAAATCAAGTCAGGCACATGGTCTACAATGTTGTAAAGTCAGGTAAGCAGGAAAAACTATCTGAGATAGCAAGGGGTCCTTCCTTCCTTCCTTCCTTCCTTCCTTCCTTCCTTCCTTCCTTCCTTCCTTCCTTCTTAAGGAGTGAGATATGCCCACGGGACAAGGGTGGGAGGCAAACAGCTGAATTGTAAACTGGAGCCCGTTTCACCATAGTAGGCAACCAAACTTGGTTCAGACAAAGGAAACCCTTTGCAGGCCTTTGTGAGGAACTCATTGGAGCCAGTTCTGACTAGGGTTGCCAGCTCCAGGTAGGGAGATTCCTGGAGATTTTCTGGTAGAGTCTATGGAAGCCGGGGTTTGCGGAGGGGAGAGGCCTCAGCTGAACAGAATGCCATACAGCCCACCTTCCAAAGCAGTTATTTTCTCAGGGGGGGGGGAGAGATCTGTTGTCTGAAGTTCAGTTGTGATACCTGGTGATCTTCAGGCTCCACCTGGAGGTTGGCTGCCCTAGGCATAGCAGTCAGTGCTTCAGAGCAGGGTCTGCTAGATCCAGGTTCTTGCTGTAGAAGCTGAGTGGGTGAAATTGGACCAGTCACAGACTTTCATCCTAACCTACCTCACAGGGTTGTTGTTCAAGTCAAAAGGGGGAGAGGAGAATGATGTAAGTTGCTTTGGTCCCCATTGCAGAGAAAGACTACGTTTCCTACTGGGAAACCATTGTTGCCAATCTCCAGGTGAGGGCTGGAAATCACTCAGAATTACAACTGCTCTCCAGATGGCAAAGATCAGTTCCCCTGGGGAAAATGATGGACTCTGTGGTAGTCAGGGCTTCAGAGCACGGAAGAGGCTGCAGGTGTGTGTGTGGGGGAAATGGAAAGCTGAAAAGAGAGGGGGAAATAAAGGTAGGTTGATGATGGCTGGGAAGGAGATAGGGTTGCAACTCCAGCTGGGAAATTCCTGGAGATTTGAGGGATGGAACCTGTAGAGGGTAAGGTTTGAGGAGGGGTGGGACCTCAGACAGGTACAATGCCATAGACTCCATCCTCCCAACCAGCCATTTCCTTCTGGGGAACCACTGTTGCCAATCTCAGGAGAGGGGTGGAAATCATGCAGAATCACAACTGATCTCCAGGAGGGAGGGGGGAGGAGATGCAAAGCTGAGATCAGAGGGGCAGATAATGGCAGGTTGATGCTGGGCTGGGAAGGAGATAGTGTTGCCAACTCCAGGTTGGGAAATTCATCGAGATTTGAGGGGTGGAGCCCGGAGAGGGTGAGGTTTGAGGAGGGGTGGGGCCTCAGACAGATACAATCCCATAGACTCCACCCTCCAAACCAGCCATTTCTTCCTGGGTAACAATTGTTTACAATCTCCAGGTGAAGGGTGGAGATCGCTCAAAATTACAACTGCTCTTCAGGTAGCTGTAAGACTACAGTAACTCTCAGAAACAATAACACAAGGGTCCGATTCTGACAGTAGCAGGGATCAATTCCTCTGGAGAAAATGGTGGACTCTGTGTCATTATACCCTGCTAAGGTCACCACAGCACATTGACGCTGAGTGCCCAAGGCCTTGACACTCTCCCAGAGCCTCTTTCTAAAGCTCATTGTATTTATTTCCACAATGGGCCTTATTCCTAGTAGATGTATAATTCGGGGTGGAGGGGCTAAAGAATGCCTGCAACCTTTTATGTAGGGTATTTTATGTCAATTAAGAAGGGTGGTGGATGTTTTACAGAAGGTCACAGTGGAAGGATGACTTCGACCATCAGCTTCAATGACAGCACCAGACCTTCATCCTTGTTGGCATTCCGGGCATGCAGGAGTACAACTCCTGGATGGCTTTCGCTCTCTGTCTGCTCTACCTCCTCACTCTCTTTGGAAACTTGACTATCCTATTTGTCATCAAGACAGAGCAAAGCCTCCACAATCCCATGTACCTCTTCCTCTCCATCCTCTCCTGCTCGGATCTCAGCCTGGCCATGTCCACCATGCCAACAATGCTGGGCGTTTACTGGTTTGACGCCAGAGAAATCTCATTCACTGCCTGCCTCACCCAGATGTTCTTCATTCACACATTTGGGGTAGTGGAGTCTGGCATCCTTGTGGCAATGGCTTTTGACCGCTTCGTTGCCATACGTGACCCCCTGAGATACACCTCTCTCCTCCAAAATTCAGTAATTGGTAAAATGGGACTTGCTGTCTTGGCCAGAGGTTTCTGCGTCTGCTTCCCAGCTCCCTTCCTGATTAAACGGCTGCCCTTCTGCCAGTCCAATGTGCTCTCTCACTCCTACTGCCTCCATCAGGATGCGATGAAACTGGCCTGTGCAGACACAAGAGTGAACGTGTTGTATGGACTGATCATAGTCATTTGCACCTTCGGGCTGGATGCTGTGGTCATCTTATTCTCTTACATCCTCATTCTGAAGACCGTTTTGAATATTGCTTCTCGCACAGAGCGTCTGAAGGCCCTGAACACTTGCGTCTCCCACGTGTGTGCCATCTTGATTTTCTATGTGCCCCTGATAGGTGTCACTGTGGTACACCGATTCGCAAGACACCTCTCTCCCATCATTCCCATGATGATGGCCAACATTTACATTGTGGTCCCGCCCTTTCTTAATCCCATTGTGTACAGTGTGAAAACACAGAAGATTCGGCAAAGGATACGCAAAATGTTCCAGCAAAAGAAAATCCGGAATTGACATTTCTCCACCAGGGAAATTGTGACAAAGGGAAATCAGTATAAGTGCCTTGCAATGAAAGCAAATAGTATGAAGAAAAAGAGTTTAAATAAAATTTCTCTATGAAGTGCAAAAGTAAAGACGTTCACAATAGATTTCAAATAAACTTGACAATAACTTTGGAGGAGATATAGTTGCTTTACATCTATCTTTGCATTGATCCAGCAGAGCATAGCAGTAAAAATATTGGACCCAGGAGCATTCTGGCCTGGTTCCATCCTCTCTCATCCTAATCTACCTCACAGGGTTGTTGTGAGGATACAAGTGGGGAGAGGCAATCCATGCATATTGACATTTATAGATTTATTTTTATTTGCAAAATGTATACCCCACTTTTCCACCTTCACTGGAGCCACCAAGGTGGCTAACAATTGGAAACATGAGCTCATTCCTCCACTCTTCAGACTCTCTCCCAGGCGACCTCTCCCTGTTTGTGAGCTGCCCAGATCCTCCTCACATGGCAGATGTTCCCTGAGCAAATCCAAAAGGTGCCCTGGAGACAAGCAAAGGGCAACCTAGGCCCTTTCTGCACCTGTATTTGGCCTTGGTCTTGGAGCACATCCCATTCTTCCGTTCTGCATTTCATCCCACTGTCACATTCAATTTGTGTTGTCTCCCCCCCTTGTTTCTGCATTTGTTTTACAGAAATCTGCATTCAGACCGCTTCCAGCACTCTGTTGCCCCGCAGTTACCAAAACTCCTTTTGTGGTGATTCTTTGTTCTCATGAACTTTCAAATTGCTAATCCTTTCTAAAGTAGAATTGTTTCTGCGGGTATTTAAGTACTGCCCACTGCCCTCCCCCTGTTTCCACCTCCCTCTCTTTAGGTTGACACTCCCTCCCCATTCTGTTTACTTTCCCTCCTTCTCCAAAGACACAAGAGGACGTGTCCTCCCACTCAGGCAAACTTTGAAAAAGCCAGAGAGAGCTTAAGAAGGAATCAGTAAATATAAAGGACCAGGGGACTCCTTGCTTCCAAATGTGTCAGTCTTGCATGTTGTCATACCGCCTGCATTCAGTTACTCTCAACCACACTCTCTTTAGCAGCGATTTGTTTATTGAGGTTTATACTGACAGACTTCACGTTCCTGGGATCCCAGATCACCGCAGACTGTGACTGCAGCCATGAAATTAAAAGACGCCTGCTCCTTGGGAGGAAAGCGATGGCGAACCTAAACAGCATGATAAAAAGTAGAGACATCACCCTGCCAACAAAAGTCCGCATGGTCAAAGCAATGGTATTCCCAGTAGTCATGTATGGCTGCAAGAGTTGGACGATAAGGAAGGCCGAGCGCCGAAGAATAGATTCTTTTGAACTATGGTGCTGGAGAAGACTCTTGAGAGTCCCTTGGACTGCAAGAAGAACAAATCAGTCAATCCTCAAAGAAATCAACCCTGACTGTTCCCTGGAAGGCCAGATAATGAAACTGAAGCTCAAATACTTTGGCCACCAAATGAGAAGGGAGCACTCACTGGAGAAGACCCTGATGCTGGGAAAGATTGAAGGTCAAAGAAGACGGGGACAGCAAAGGAAGAGATGGTTAGACAGTGTCATCGATGCAACGAACATGAAATTGAGCCAACTTCGGAGGACTGCGGAAGACAGGAGGGCCTGGCGGGAGATGGTCCATGGGGTCGCGAAGAGTCGGACTCGACTGTGCAACTGAACAACAACAACAACAACAATACTGGATACAGGAACATTTGCATTTGTGTCAGAACTAAAGGATTTTGGCAAGTACATGGATACAAATAGGCAGTTCAAACAGGAGCCCCTCTATATTGGCTGAATAACTCTTCAAATTCACTCTATCCCCTCCTCGGAGAATACACAGACCTCCTTGTCTACTCGTGAGAGAGATGTATGACTTGGAATGTTACCCAGAAGCAAACAGGCACATGCACTCCCCCCATTCACTCCCCCCCTTTAGGAATGCCTCCTCTCCCCTCCCATTTATGGCAAACCGAGAAGAGTGAGGTTTGACACATGTGTCGGTCTGGATTTCCCCCTCCCTTCCCGTTCTCTTTTTTTTGTAGAATCCACGATTTATTACAACGAGCAAAATACAGTTCTGCACACAGGGTATTCTACTCCCCACCCCCAAACTCCTTTCCCTTCCCAAACCAAAGGTCCAGTAGCCAGTGTCCCAGAAGTACCATTCTCTTGTTGGAGCTGGTCCAGCCGCCATCCCTCAGCAGCAGGCCCCCAGTGGGAAGGAAAAACAGTCCCTCAGGGCCTCTCTCCTCACCATTCAAGGGAAGGAATCAGCATCCGTTCGAAGACAGATATGTCTGGGAGCTCACCTCCTCCAGAAGAAGTGCTGTCCATCAAGGGAGGGCCCACCCCAGACAGAAGCTTCTTCAGCTGAGACCTCTCCCACTCACTCTAATTCGTTACAGTTGGCTGGTGTCTGGAACGATGGATTGAACTCGTTCCCTGAGAACCAGGAGCTCCTTGCACGGAGCACGCACCCATGACTTCTGTCCAGTTGGCAGATAGTCAGACATGTTGCACTCGGTGCAACACACTGGACAGCCCACAATCCCCTGCTGTCATTCTACCTTCACAATTGCCTTTTTATTATTTGTGGGGGGAGGGTTGTGTGTTTTTTTAATCCTCCTTTTTTATAAAACTTCCTATTTATGTAGCTCTCTTTGTGGAATGTGTGCTTACCCTTTTAAAGTAAAGGTAAAGTAAAGGTGGCTCAAGTGGTTAAGACGCTGAACTGCAGGCTGTGGAAGGTCAGTAGTTCAGCAGTTCAAGACCCGAGTGTGCCGCATGACGGAGTGAGCTCCTGTCTCTAGTTCCAGCTCCTGCCAACCTAGCAGTTCGAAAGCAAGAAATTGCAAGTAGATAAATAGGGACCACTTCGGTGGGAAGGTAACAGCGTTCCATGCGCCTTGGTGTTTAGTCATGCCGGCCACATGACCACAGAAACGTCTTCGGACAGCGCTGGCTCTTCGGCTTGGAAACGGAGATGAGCACCGCAACCCTAGAGTCGGACTCGACTGGCTTTCGAGCAAGGGAACCTTTACCTTTACCTTTAAAGGTTCCCTTGCTCGAAAGCCAGTCGAATCCGACTCTAGGGTTGTGGTGCTCATCTCCGTTTCAAAGCCAAAGAGCCAAGTGTGGAAAAGGAGAGTCAAAGGGGGGGGGACCTTTTTTTTTTGAAATAAATTTTATTTTTGTTTACAAAAGTATACATGTACATTTCATCTATTTCGTTTACATAGATATCTAAGACTTTCCCCTTACTTTTTTGTGCCAATTTGGGATGTTACTTTTCTGTCTGTTTTTCTATCCACTTGTACACTTTTTCCCATCTCTTTTTATGTACCTTTTCATTTTTATTCTGTAGCATTAAGCTTAAATCGTCCATTCTGGCTCCCCTCCTCCCCTCCCTCGCTGTCGTCCCTGGTGGCCCTGGTGACTTTGGGACAGTGGCTGCCAATCAGCAGTAAGTGTCAAGCTCGTGCCTCGCTTGACATGGACTCTGGGTCCTCAAGGGTTAATTGCTTCTCCTTCTTCTCTAGCTTGTTTATCCTTCTGGCTAAAGGGGGGGGGTAATGAGTGTGTGTTGGCTTACGCAGTTCCTGGGAACCGTATGATCTCAGCACCCACTTCGACCTTGGGTGCAGGGATTCTCAAGATAGCGCAACAGCTAGTGGCAGGTTTGGATTTTTGGCGGGCTGAATGCGAATACTGATTGTGTGGTACGCTTCAAGGGGGATGTCTTGCATGTTGTGTAGGTTCAGTCCTGGCACCCGGGTGTCGGTTCTGACATGGAATCTGTCCATGCTTGGAAACTGTTTCACTTCTCAATAAACAAATCTTGCTGATACAAGAGTGTGTCGAGAGACCTGACAGTAAGGCGATGTGAGGGGAGTCAGGCAGCTGATGGGCAGAGGCTGCCCGAGTGGAGGAGGAGGAGGAGAAGATTGGATTTATACCCCATGGCACTTCACTACCCAAAGGAGTCTCAGAGCGGCTTACAAACTCCTTTCCCTTCCCCTCCCCACAACAGACACCCCCTGTGAGGCAGGTGGGGCTGAGAGAGCTCTTGACAGAAACAGCTTTTTCAAGGACAGCTGTTATCAGAGCTATGGCTTGCCCAAGGCCATCCGGCCAGGTGCAAGAGGAGGATGAGTGGGGGAATCAAAGGTTCTCCCAGATTAGAGTCCGCGCACTTCACCATGACACCAAGAGATTGGGTTTATACCCCTTGCCCTCCACTACTGAAGGGAGTCTCAGAGCGGCTTACAAACTCCTTTCCCTTCCCCTCCCCACAACAGACACCCTGTGAGGTCGGTGGGGTTGAGAGAGGAGAAGAAGAAGAGATTGGGTTTATACCCCTTGCCCTTCACTACCCAAGGGAGTCTCATAGCAGCTTACAAACTCCTTTCCCTTCCCCTCCCCACAACAGACAGACACCCTGTGAGGTGGGTGGGGCTGAGAGAGCTCTGACAGGAACTGCTCTTCTCCAAGGACAGCTGTGCCAGAGCTTGCGACTGACCCAAGGTCACATCAGCAGGTGCAAGTGGAGGAGTGGGGAATCGAACCCGGTTCTCCCAGATTAGAGTCCGCGCACTTAACCACGACACCAAATTGGCACTTAACCACTACACCAAACTGAGTGGTGCCTGTTGCTGCCCACACCTCTGAAGCTGTGGTGAGGACCGTGAAGGCAGGGGTCTTCTGGCCATCAGGGCAGCTGAGTCGTCTGTGCCCCACCCAGCGTGGTGGGTGGCCTGAGGCCGGTGCTCCATAGCTAAGACCGCCAATTGCCCCAAGGTTGAGGAACTGCCTTTCCCAAGTGGGATCCCAGTGATCCTTGACAACTCGCTCCTTCCGGAATGGCCTCGTGGAGATTGTTTCGCTACTTCTTAAACAGCGGAATCCTCAGCAGAGTTATACCCTGCTAAGCCCGTTGACTTCAATGGGCTTGTAAGGGTGGAACTCCATTTAGGATTCTGCTGTGAATTCATTTGATGTTGTTTTGTATTATTATCATCTGATACATTATTATCATCTGTTAGGCTATTATGACAGGTTATCATCTGATTAGGATTGGACTTTTGTTTTATGCTGTTATTGTAACCGGCTTTGAGCATTTGAATGGAAAGCCAGCTTAGATGTAGAATAATTTACTAGCGGAATAACTTAGTTGTGGGTAGGATTCAGTCTCTCTGTGACAATGAGGCACATCCATGAATGAACAGATGTAGCTGTTCCTGTAACACAGAGCTGCAATTTTAAAAGTACTCCCTAAGCGTGAGCAACTGGACGGGTGAAGGATTGTGTCTGGTACAGACAAACACAGTTTATACTCAAAATAGGCTCCTTTTCTGAGCATTCTTCTGGTGATGCTGGCGTATCTCAAAAAGTGGTTGTGTCAGTCTTTTTGGCCAATTCCCTATTTATACAAATTTGAACTCAACAACATTATAGTCACTGTTCCCAAGTGGTGCAATCACTTTTACATCTCTCACCAGGTCTTGAGCGTTACTTAGGACCAAATCAAGGATCGCCTCTCCCCTCGTAGGTTCCGTGACCATCTGCTCCATAACACAGTCATTGAGAGTGTCTAGAAACTCAATCTCTTTTTCCCGACTAGAACACATATTGAATCCAATCAATGTGTGGGTAGTTAAAATCACCTATTACAACCTATCACCTCTGAAGAAGCTCAGTAGTCTCTTCACCGAGACATGAGGGGGGAGGGGGAGGGAATTCTCTGCTAGGGTAATGTTCAGATGGTTAAAAGGTTAGAGCCGGCTCAAGGTCCAAGGGAGTAATCAAGTCTGTGGCTGCCAAAACAAAAAGGGAGTCTTGGGACGCCCTTAAAGATAAACTAGTTTGTACCAGCCTGAGCTTGTATAGATTAAAGCTCCATTTCGCAGATGCATGGGTTTTTATGTTGAGTTTACAGATTTATATGTACACACCTACACATGGGTACAGAGCACATAAGTGGGGCTAAAAGCCTATAAAATATGCAAAGTACAAGAACAAGAAGACTGCTCTTGTATTCCATGGACTTTTGGCCCCGGTGTTTCAAATTCTCCCCTCTACATTTGAGTATGTGTGTGTGTGTGTGTTTGCATGTGTGTGTATTTGAGGTGCTCCAAGATGCTTTCTTCTCTTTCAGTCTGGTGTGTATATGTTATACCCAGGCATTCTGATTATAAGTACAGGCAGGGCTCTTTTTGTCGAAAAAGCCCAGCAGGAACTCATTAGCATAATAGGCCACACCCAACAGCAGAAAATCATTAGCCTATTGGGCCACACCCCTGACAGCACAGCTCATTAGCACATTAGGCCACATCCCATGTTACCAGAAGTGTGGTCATCCAGCCACACCCACCTTTTGCTTCTTATTCTGTTTACCTTGTTTGTTGTCAAAACCCAGGGCTTTTTTTGTAGCAAGAACTCCTTTGCATGTTAGGCCACACACCCGTAATGTAGCCAATCCTAATGAGTTTCTGCTGTTGGGTGTGGCCTGTTATGCTAATGAGTTCCTGCTGGGTGTGGCCAGCTTGGGAGCCAGCCGGAACTCCGTTCCTGTGCGTTCCTGCCCAAAAATAGCCCTGAGTACTGGTATCTATATTTTCCCATCAACCTCATGCAAGTTACCACTGGGAAGAAGTGTCTGTCAGTGTGGTGGATGCCAGCTCAAACGTGTTACCCACAATTCAAGCAAATCGCTTAGCTAAGTGCCAGCACAACGGAGTATTTTATTGTGTTTGAGTGCAATGGCGTGTGATTGACACCATTTCTCCTTCAGAAATCATCCTATTTTGTTGAACATTAAACTTCACATTGTCATTCCTCTGGAAGCTGCCCCTGTACATTGTTGGCCTCTTGAAATTATTTGAAGAGTGTCCCTAACTGTAGCATGTTGCTTGCAGTTACATGAGCCATGATTCTGATTCAGTAGAATATCTTGATGCATTCCGCATACTCTTTTTCATCTGTTGGTGGTTTTCTTGCACTACCAGGCTGCAGGAATTTCTTGATTGTAGGGATGTTGCTTATTCTTCCTTTATAAGTCTAGAGAGGGAAAATATTGGAACAAGAAGCATTTTCCAGCAAGAAAAGGTGCCATTTCTCAGGAGTTATTTGTCACCTGAAGAACATAAGGTTATAATATGCCCTGATAATCAGCAACAAAGCTCAGCTGTAACAAAGCCTCAGGCCAGCCTGTGCGGACAAAAACATTGGCAATAAATATGTATTTCTCGCAGTTACAGTGGATCGTGGGGGGCCCCTACTTATATAGACCCCGTGCAAACTGAAACTGGTCTAATGGACATTCCCCTTCCTCAGGCAACCCCCTGGGAGCTGTGAATCTGCAACTCCATGATGAAGTATCCTCCACACCCTTATCATACTACAGTTTCCAGTTATGACAATTCAACAAACAGAAACATAAGAACATAAGAGAAGCCAATGTTGGATCGGGCCAACAGCCCATCCAGTCCAACACTCTGTCACACAGTGGTCAGAAATACCAGGTGCCATCAGGAGGTCCAGCAGTGGGGCCAGGACACTAGGAGCCCTCCCAATGTTGCCCCCCCCCAAAGCACCAAGAACACAGAGCATCACTTGTCCCAGAGCCCCTATCTATACCTTGTGGCTTAATAGCCACTGATGGACCTCTGCTCCATATGCTTATCTAATTCCTTCTTGAAGCCGTCCATGCTTGTAGCTGCCACCACTTCTTATGCTCCCATATGAAATCATAAAGGACAGTGAACTGGGGATCCTCTGCTCTACAGACATACTACATATACAGCCCCTACAGAAACAATTAAAAATCCTACCAGGATCAGTCTGACATTATGCATAAACCAGGATCGGTTCTACACTTATATATGTTTACCATGAATAACTGGGGAATCTAAACACAGCATCAAACTTCTTGAGACTTTACTTGAAGTTGATTGAAATAACCACCGAAATAGTGCATTATTGATTTCAGCTCTGCTGCTGTTTGGTCACTGGAAGAGCCGGAGCAGGGCCTCTCCACATCTTTCACAATTTGTAAGGGTTATTAAGGGCTTACCTTCAAAAGAGGGAACTTCGACAGAACATCAGGCTTGAGCTCTTCTACCATTAAAATAACTTCAAGCAACTGAACATCTGCTCTGCTGAACCTGTTTCCGACAAGATAATCCTGACCGTGATCTTTGAGGGCCTGCAGGACAGGAAATATGTTAAGGGGCTCATATTATGCTAGGAAATCAGCAGACACAAAGCAGACATTTGTGGACCACTTTAAAAAAAATCTCAGCCCCCCCAATTGTAACATTTCATGGCAAGGATTTGTGACAGTGCTCTTGTTAGCCTGATTGCCTTAAGTTATTAATCACAATGGGGAATTTGCAATATTATAAGATCGGCAATAGGCACTAAGGGAACAAACACCTGTATATACGGAGGTCCCGCTTCTTCCAGAGGTACCAGAAATAGACACGGAGGCTGGAGTCAGTATAAAGATAGTGTCTTTCACTGGAGGGTCTTCACATTCAAACAATACACACACACTCAGTTACACAGCTTCTAGGAAAATCAGCTAGAGCATAGAGACGTCTGCATGAGCAGGATATCGTTGGTGGGCAATATTTACCTGTCCAACGTGATGATGAGTCACAGTGGAAATATAGGGGAGGGGGAGAGAATAATAGGAAAAGGAAATTGTGCTTTGAACCGGCAGAAGCACGTGGAAGACTCTGGCTGCAGTCCAAGAGTCTTAAAGCATGGCGAGTGTCAGGATAGCAAGAGCTAAAGGTGTACAGAGGGCGTAGAGAGAAAGAGAGCACGCTGCTGGGTGCCCGCTTTTATTGGGGGGGCGTTGAGGGAAAGGCTTGCTAGGCACCTCCCTTGAGCTAACCCCTTGGTGGTCCGTTCCAAAAGTCACGTTCGCAATGGATGAGGGGCTTAAGGAATTGGTCAATATAAAATTGTGAAATGTAAATTTAAGAAAGAACCTGAAATATTACTTTTAATATTACTATTAAAATGGAAGAAGTCAACATGGCGAAAAGGACTTTGATGTGGTACATGATTAAAACTGCTAGAATGACATATGCTCAATGCTGGAAGCAAGACAGAACTCCTGAAATTGGGGAGTGGATAAAGAAATTACCTTTTATGGCGGAAATGGACAAAATGACAAGAAAGCTTAAAGATCTGGAAGCAGAAGAATTTTTCGCAGACTGGATAGACTTTAAAGAATATTTAGAGAAATATTGGGATGTAAAGAACAACTTAATTTGCTTTGATAACTACTGAAAAAAGAATGATATTAGAAGGAAGATAAATATATAAGAATAATAGTTGAAAGATATGTTACCTGTAGAACGTGATTAACGAGTAAGGGGGAAAAGGTGAGAATTTAAGATGTGGCCTGGAGGTTGGAGCACTGTGGGAAGTCAAAAGGGGTGGGGAAATAGGAGAAAAGGATGTATAACAATTAGTAGTATGATGTATGTTTGACCTCTTAATATATCCTAATAAATTGTTTTTGAAGGATTTGGTCAATATTGAATTCTAACTTGGCTTGTGACAGAGGCACCTCGATGGCCGCGATGACTCATCGGCTAGCACCCATTTTGTTCTTTGTCTCAGGGCAGCAAAGCCAGTTCCTTCAGGTGAATGAGGAAGTCATTTGTCAAAGAGAAGGCGGGAAAGACTCTTTTGTGCCTTCAGTGGTGCCTTCAGTGCAGGGGAGGTTGGGTAGGGGGTTGCCAGCGTAATGAAGATGGACTCCTTTAATGGCGGCTGGAGTCCCTGGTTTAAACAGCAATGGCAACTGGGCAACTCTGGGAACCACGGGCACACTGTCTCAGGCATCTGCTGGCGTGTGTCTCACATCACAATCTGATCACCTGACATCACATTTTCTACACAGTCCATTTATATGTCTATAATAGGGATGTGCATTCGGTTCATCCGAACCGAATGCACCCCCGAAAATGGCCCATTCGGACCCCTTTCAGGCTGCTGCAAGCCGATTCAGATTCTCTGATCTGAATCGGCTTGCTGCCGAATCGCCGCAGAATTTCGGCGGCAATTGGGCCCCATTATATCCTATGGGCCATTGAAGTCAATGGCGAAAACATAGGGTATATTCTGGGGGCTGGAGGGTAGGGAGTTTGAGGGAGAGGCTCCAAACTCACAGGTTAGCTTCCGGAGCCTCTCCACAAGATACCAACCAAGTTTCAAGAATATTGAACCAGGGGGTACAATTCTACGGGCTCCCAAACTGGTTGCCCCTATCCCCTCCATTGTTCTCTATGGTGGGAAAAAAGTAACTGTTTTTGTATCCTATATCCTTCCAGTCAGCTTCCTCTAGGAGAAGGATAATTATGCTGAATCAATGCATTGAGAGTAATTGAATGAGCTAATTGACCAATGGAAAGATGCTGAACAGTCTTCTCACAGAGGAGGATGTCTGTTGTGTATCTGGATGAGTCACTGCACTATGCTTGCCTTGTTCTAGTTGGCGAACATGCAGATCAGGATCTCGTATAGAAACACACTGTCACAAGCAAAAAGGTTTGCTTTTAGATTGGAGTGTGCCTTCAGTTTTAATTCAGAAAAAGCAATAGGCCTCACCTATCAGAAGTTTCAGAAACAAACCCTAGATAAAGGAAAGGAATTCTGATGTGCCAAAGGACAAGTGATTTTTATGTATCTGAGAAGCTGTACATATAAGAAATCACCCAGCGGTTTGAAAGCCAAGTAACTATCTATCGGTGAGTAGATAAATGGGTACCCACCCTTAGTAGGGTGGGGGGCACCCTCCTCCGCCTATGGAGGTGTGTGGAGAAGCAGCGGCAATGGTGGCGGCAAGAACGGCGGCTACAGCGGAGCGGAGCAGCAGCGGCAGACGATTGGAGGAGGAGGCGCAACGCTGAAGGCGGCAAGCGGCGGCAGCAGTGCCAGATTGATCCCTGGTGGCCAGCGGTGAAAGAACAAGGCGGCTGCCGTCGACGGAGGTTGGAGGCGCAGTGACGTCATCCGGAGGCGCGCGGAGCCGGAAAGGACATGATCGGGCCGAGGACGACGTCGCCGGCGATCCATACATCCACCTGTCTGCCTGAGCACTGGGACATCTTACAGCCAGAAAAAGAAGCCGAGCCGGGAAAAAAAACACTGAAGCCTCCACTAGGGTGCCGGTAGGGAGTTCCCCCCCTTGTACCAATGTGGCTGTAGTTAGGGTTGATTTCGGT